GCATTGGATTTATCAGCAGCAGACTATCCTGAAGGATCTTATGAAGAAGTTTTAGAAGAAGATTTCTCGGAGGATGGTTACAACTTCAAAGCTACTGATTTTTGCTTTCATCACTATCACTATACAGACAGTTTTTCTTACTACTGACAGGTATCATAAACCATCCTACCACATTCTCTTTGTCTTGCTCATAGTCAGAAGAGCAGCCTTGCCTTGCTAAATCACTACTATTTCATGTACCATAGACACAAAAATCATTTCAGTTTCATTTTTTTATAATTGCAAAGATATGAATTAGGTAGTATGCCCTATGAGCTCCAGAATGATGGAGTGTTTTATTCACAAATAATAATCTTGCAACAACAATACATAATAATACATCATTTACTTTGTCAATTAGGGACACAAATAGAATGGCATTGTAATCAGCTACACTCTGGTAGTCATGGTTGGTACCATATTAGAAACCACATTTATGTCATAATTCAAGGAGAATTACTCAGTTCAATAGACTGGTTATGTGCAACCTATCAATGGATACATGGAGTAGCAGAAACATTAAACACAATATTAGATGGAATCGAAAGAGATCTCCATCTAGCTAGAGGAACTGTGCTGAACTTTGGAGGAAGATTTGTAAACAGAATTTTCTTTTTCACTAGCTGCTGTAATTTCCATAGGTGATAACCCATTTGGACATCTCAACCAGAATTGAGAAGTCACATGATAAATCATGCCTATGCAATGTAGAAGTCACCATTGTGTCTGTGCCCTAAAATAGGAGTATAAGACAATTAAATCTTGCAGACACCAACACCATCACCAGTATCATTTTAATTTATTTCATCAATCTATCTTTTGCACTATTTTTAGTAGAACCATGGTGTAGACTATCGCTTTCAGTCTAATTTGCCTGGGGAAGAGTGTCATATCCCACATTCCGAACCAACATCCGACGACGTTCCCATGCCTCATCCGGACCTCCGGACCTCCTGTCCATGTCTCCAGACCCAATCCTCTATCCGTCCGGATCCCTGTACTCCTGCATCTGATATCCGGATGCCAGATCTGATATCCACATCTCCGGATCCGACCTATCTGTCATGTCCGAACTCAAACCTTAAATCAGTGCCCATCCCCTTATGGTAATCACCTGTCTCCGGACTTCCGAACATCCGGATCTGACCCACGTCTATCTTCCGTGCCTTATCCCTTTGTACGTTCCTTCTCAAGTTAGACTTCCTCATTTTCCGTACCTTGTTTCATTTCCGGCTTTATTTTCCTATGTCTTCATCTCTGTCTTCATTTACTATTTTCCGATAGACTAGTGGTTGACTTTTCTATACCCTCCGTCCACAGCCTCAGATAGCTTCGGACTGCACTGATTGATTCTCCATTATGTCCTTTGTAGTATATAAACCCTGTAAAGTCTCTATACTTCCTCAGTCTGAATATTACACATATTAGTCCTCCGACTTAGTCATTATCCATCTCAGGCCTAGGGAGGAATTCCCTAGGCCGGAGCTCTGCTCCTCTGCTCCTCCGATCCACCATTCCCCCAAGTTTCCGGAAGTTCCTCCAGAACTTTCCCGCGGTCCTCCGGACCTATTCTGCTTCGGACTTTGTCCTTGCAGCCTTTCCTCTGTTTGCTTCTACTCAGGACAAGTCCTGAGTAGCCATTACACATATCCCCGTCAGGATGAAACTCCATCGTAATTTCCAGAAGTTCCTCCGGAAGTTTCCCACACTCATCCGGAAGTTTCTCGCACTCGTCTGGAAAGTCCTTCTGACATTTCCCATGCTCCTCTGGAAGTCCTTCGGACTTCACTGGACTTTCTTCGGACTTCATTCTGAAGTTAAGGGCACATACTCGGGTAAGGGGCGCAGCGCACGAGCTGAAGCCAAGCCCTTCGGATCCGACCTTTGAGCATGTTCTTAACAAAGAGCAACACTTGCATCTTACCAAGGAATGAGTCAGAAAGTGATAACAAGTAATAGAATTGCTTCTTCACTTGGGAAATACCCAATTTGTGTTCTTTTTAATTTCTTGATGATGCTTCTTCACATATACTTTGTGGACAAAGTCCTACATATCCTGACATACATATTACATAATCGGTATGTTTTGTGTCACATCTTAAACATGCGCTTACATGAGCCTCTCATTTTTTACAATACTCAGAGGAAAAACTGAAATATTTCATACCTCATTACATAATCAGTCTCATGTGACTTGGTGGCACATTAGGACAACCATGCAGAGCTTCATTATAACAAATATGCAAGACCAACACTATGATATTTAACAAATTAACATCAGACTGTAAGAATCTCAATAAAGTTTGAACACAGCTTTGGAAGTACAGCATTCAGGCAGTGCAGAGGCAGTGTACACAGCTTGCTAGCACAGGTTAACATAGCCACAGAGCACAGCCACTAATGTTAATTTGAAAGATTCTAGAATATTCTACTGAACAACACTGGAGTTTGGTGAAATAGTCGGGAAAATTCTATGGCATTCTTTGAAACTTTAATAGTAGATTAGTAAATTGAACAAAGTAGTGAGAACATTGTAGCACTCGAGCTCATGCTAGGCTCATATTCTGCTATGTTCCAATGCATGTCAAACACCTGTTGCACATGAATTGCTTCCTAATGTTATCTGACACTTACCTGCTCAATCTGATGTTTATCCACTAACCCGACAAAAATGACCTCCCTATGTCATGTCCAGTCGTATCTATCCCCACTAGGTGCATAGTTATCTACTTTCATCTTGCTAACATTGTAGACCATTGTAGGACTTGAAGTCCTTGTGGCCTCGTGGAAGTCTATTTTCCAATGCATGTTGAAATGCTAATCATTACCCGAATCATTCCCTATCATACCCGACTCAATATGCACCAAACCCAAAAACATCAGACATCAGACTATTGGACATTACATCAGGTTTTGCATTGGCCTATTGGATATTGTGCGCACTCATCCTACCTATGTCCAGTTTCATTGTGCTAGCCTCACTAGGTGCATAGTTACTTGTTTTCACATCACTAACATTGTAGACCACATTATTACATGTATTCCCATTGTCTGCAGTACATCATGTCTTATTACATAGGACATCGGACCTGAAAAGTATCACTACTACTTTCGCCTATAGCACTCTGAAATTCTACATAGATACTATATATTTCACATACCTCCTACCTATTATTACTTACCTTTCTACCTCCAAGTAGGAGGTCATCCAATATTAGTAGTTCTTAGCTGAATTCCAAAATATCATCCTTTCTTTATCCAAAACACTCTTGAAAACACCGACAGTAATCCAACATTCACTAACTTTCCGACACATTCCTGACGCAACCTGATACAACCCAATGAAACCCGATGTAACCCAACCTGAAAAACATCAGACCTGACATTTTTACCTTTGGACATTGTTTCCCATGCTTGGACTATTGTTACGGTTCTTAGGCTTACCTTCACCTCTTCACCACTTCACATCTTCACATAGTCATTTATCACCTTTTCACTTATTCACAGAACATCACAGAACATTCTACCTAATTCCCACGCCACATTATCATACGACTCTTACCATGATTATTCCCATTGGACGATTACCATTCAGACTCCTATTACATATTGGAGCTCCGCTTCAACACATGCTTATATACCTAGTAGTTACCATGTATGTTTCTCTAACTTGACCTTAGCAATCTACCTTGTAAACCTACAGCTAGTAGTAAAGGGGTTCATTGTTAAAGCATAACAACTATCTTCCTTTTCACATAACCAGTTATTTTAATACCAAACAGCAAACCCCTTGGGTTGAATGCACTTGTCTTGCAAGTATAGCAGACTAGGCTGTGCTAGACCACAACTATTATATTTGGCTGAGTGCTTACTGTGTGTTGTGCTCAGCCATTGTTGTATACTTACAACGTCTAAGGTCACATAATTCAGTAAATACTTTCCGTATTACACAGACACCCGAAGTTGAGATTCTTCTGTGCAAGACGGGTCATCCGAGCTGGGCCCAAATGCAGGTTGTGCCCGGTATAATTGGCAGGGCCCATATCAATATGGTTATCCGGTACTTCCGGATGGGCCAGAATGCACGCAGCATTGGAATGTCAGTATATATGGATGGGCTGGAATGTGTATGTGAATGGTCCTTGGGGGGACACAAGTGGGCCAGAATAGATGAAAATGAAATCTCGGGATGTACGTATGGGCCGGAATGTGGTTGTGAATGATCTTTTAGTGTATACAGGTGGGTCAGAATAAAAGCAAATAAAATATTAGGATGTACGGATGGGCTGGGAGAGGAATCGAGATAGCCTGTCAAAGGATCCGGATGGGCCGAAATGTGCACATGATCGCAATATCGGTATATACAAATGGTATTTCAGCCGACACGGGTGGGCCGGAATTGCATGTGAGTGAGTGGATGTGGATAGGTCCAAATGCTCAAAGGGGTGTAATATTGGTATATACAGCTGGGCCGAAATATGGATAGGATTGACATGTCGGTATATACTGATGGGCCGGAATCGGTATGTGAAAGATGTTTCGGTAGGACACGGATAGGCCGGATTGTATGGAGGTGAAATCTCGGTATACATTTGTGCAGATATCCGAATATTACATAGATGCTCATGTATATATATGTATGGATGCATGACCATTATATTGGCAGGAATGGCTGGTCCCAAGAATAAACTGGTGGCCGAGAATGGCCCAGTGAGTATCATACATGCTATTTTCCAGACAGTATGACAGCTCATGCTATTGGCGCAAGGCTAAGCACATATGAAGTTGACAGTTCTAATATCCGGCAAGATGTTCCCTGATTGCACTATTCTCTTCGGACATCCGGCAGATCAATCCGAAACCCGCTGGCATTGAAATGTAAATGTACATGGTAATATCTACACAGGAAACTCAAGCAACTACAAGTACATGATATGAAGTGTAAAGAAATATTGTAACAATCACTGACTATTGAAGGGACTTGCAGGCGGGAAACTATAAACATCATGAGCGAGTTGCGGGGGCTCACTGGATGCCCGAACTAGAGATACAGTCATGTTCACTGAAGGGCCGGGCTGAGGGCCTTGTGAAAGGTCCCAAGCAGTGGTGTACTCCTTACCCGCTGCAGAAACACTCTGATCAACCTGGTCAGGAGCGTTCGGGAACCACGAGCCCGGGATTTGACCAAACGGGTGACCTTGCGTCGACGGTCCAATGGGAGGGTTGAAGGAGGTCGGCCTTCTGGTATGGTGGAACAAGCTCATGGCATTGGCCATGTGTCCGATTGATGCCATGTTGCTGGAGTTCTTCAACTCGACATCCCGGATTTTAGCTTCCATGGTGGCAAACCGCCTGGTCCATTCTCCATCCAAGGTGGTCATCCGACCCACCATGTCCTCATGCAGTGCCTCGGCATGATCACTCGAACGAGTCACCATCCCTTCAAACCTGGTCCTGAGGGCCTCGATTGTGCGGATGACATCGGTCAGCGTTGGCTGTTCAGCCATCGGAACGGCCGGTGCTGCAATGTCCGCGGGCACGATGTCAGGTGTGACAGTCATGTCAACGTCATTGTCGACAGTGGCCGCTGGTGCACCAGCAGCAGGCCCGGCGTCTGCGTCTGCGGGTGCCTTCGGCACAAGTATTTCTGCTATATATGAGTACCGACGAATTCCAGAATATAGAATCACATACCGGGTTGTGTGTCATAGTCGCCCTCAGCATCCTCATCTGCTGAGTCCTCCGTGTTTGAGGCGATGATTGGATCAGGGGATGCACGACACACACGTGACGTTGTGTGGGTTGCGCGCTCACCAGTTGCGCCCTTCAACCGAGTTCGGGATTGGGCTCGGGATGAGGATCCCTTTCCTTGCCGGCCCGCAGCAAGTCGGGATTTCTTTTCAGCAGCAGCGGCAGCCTTTGCTTTCTTCGACACAATTTGCGCACGAAGAAGTTCGGCTGTGGTGGGATCCAGCCGGACGCACTTGGTTTTCTTCTCATCACAAGTGCAGCAGCACTTCCGGAACTCGCCAGCCTTCTTCGCAGCGGCAACCACGCAAGCGACATCATACTTGATGCAACGCTCGCATTGGTCACCAAAGATGCACGACAAAGATTCCGGCTTCTTCGTAGTGTCAATACCGGGCTAGAAAACAGTTAGTGTCGGAATCGATACATGCAACATGACACACCTTGGCACCTGCTGATGGAACGACTACAGGGACAGTGTTCTCGGTTTGCTTCTTGTTCTGAAGGGAGTTGTTAATATTTTTGGAATACCGACAAATGAAAGAACAACTCACCTTCACATATATTACATTAGTCGGGAGGACTTCATCATCCTCATCATCGCTAATGATCTTCTTCGACTTCACCTTCTTCCGAGGTCGACTGCGGTCCCGAGGCCCAACCTCGCGCCCGGATTTAGACACCTGGTTTTTGGCCGGTGGTGGCGCCGGCTGTTCATCATTCTCATCGTCCAGTTCGGATGTTGGTGCCTTCCGTTTGTTGCCCGGAACAAGCAGGTTGAATGGCTTAACTACCAGGTTTGGAGGTGGCGGTGCTGGAGCTTCAATGGGAAAAAGGGCCGATGCCACCGCTGAATGAGTCGAGTTGCTGGCCTGGGCTGCCGGATGAGTATAAATAGGTGCAGCGACTGGAGGAGGAGAGGCCGGAGGGACAGGACGCGTGTACCTGATTGTCTTGTTAAAAAGCGGGTGACCGCGGATGCAAGTATCCTGGTCGGATATGGTTGCCCAGTCCAGCAAGCCCTTGAGTTTTCCATTTGGTGCGCTCTTGTCTCGGAGTTCTGCAGCGCAGGACAAGAGAGTGGGAGGCACCGAGGTTGCGGCATGCCCGTGTTGAGCAAATGCAGTTGACTGTAAGATAAGGTTTTCCGGTCATTAAAACTGCAACAAACATTAAAAGCAAGCACTTACCAAAGTAATGGCAATCTCATGTGCGAAAGCCTTTGAACCCGAGTCTCCCATTGGGAGCTTCTCGGACTTCTTGATAATCCGTTGAATCTTGTCGGCGACAAGATTCAAAGCTTCATTAGCATGTTCGGAGGAAGACATGAAGAAATAATCAGTAGAGGAATGTACAAAAGTCAAGGTTAACACGGAAATGAAGTGTAGGTATGGAAATTCGGAAAGGAAAGTCGGAGTCCAAGTTGCGATGTAATTATAGGGACAAGCAATTGTGGTCTTAGTGCGGCTACGGCATTTTCCGGTGCCACATGTTTATTGTGCCTCGACACAATTGATTAAAATATTCGGGTCTTGCCGCGGTGCCTAACAACCGCTATTGTGGAGAAGGTCCACACATCTTCAACCACATTTGCTGCTCCACAAGACTTGCGAGTGGACCATTCAGTGTTCACTATTTAATCACAGGATTCTCAAGCTGAACACACCATATATTCACCATTCCTGAGCACCCGTACAATGGCCACCCGAAGAGTTCATTTTTCATCTCCTTTGGAAATTGAGTAAGTGCGCTCTGCTACCGTTGGTAAGTCATATTCCGACGATGAATATCAAACTGCCTTGAAAGAATGGTTGGGCGCTTTCATACCCATAGACAAGTGGACGCCCCTAACGGTAAGGCGCTGCTTCAAAGATGGGAATTTTCGATGCAAGTTCTCCCTTTTTGGTCAAGCTTCTTCGGTTGTCATGTACTAAATATTACTGCAGAATACAACATGAGTCCGGAAAAGCGGATCGGTCATCTGGACAGCCAAATGATATGCTCCACCCCTGACCGCTGTAGGGATTCATTTCTGGCTGGGCTTGTAGAGACTGTTTTTACCTTACCTTATGTTGGCACTTTTGTAGCTTACATAAGGAAGTTATCTTTTCACCAGTTACCAGTAGGAGTCAGAGTCTTCAGTAGTTTTCTATCATATTTCCTCTTCTCTGAGCCTTGAGCCTGGTCCAGAAACCCTTTAGGGTCGAATAGCAGCTAGGTTCTGCAAGACCCAACATTGTTCAGACTCACTCTCTGAATTGTTGTACCTTCACCGCTTTGACCGGTGCTTCACCGGAGTGGACAACTGCATTCAACAGCTATCCGGTAAGTGCTTCTAACGTTCTATCTCACACACAACTGACCTGGCTACATTCGCAGCCATGTTTGATGAGGATTGGGTCAAGTCCAAAGGGCCGGAATCTCCGCAGTCCCAACAAACGGACTCCATCATGGAAGACAATGTGGATGAGCTTGCGGAAGATGGCCCATCGTACAACCTTGGATGGGGGGATATGGATGCCGGATCTCAAGCTGCTGCATCTGTGTCGGTGGATGACATCTCTACTGGTAAGTTCCTTCCCCAGTTGAAACCATCAATAGCATGTTAAATATCACACAGGGCCTTCATACGATCTAGGATGGGGTGCGAACACCACGATCTCCGACATTGACACTGACGATATATCGAAGTCGGCCGAGATGGCAGAAGGACCTGCTTATGATCTCGGATGGGGTGGTGCTGACACTGCATCTGGATCCCCTATCGATGCCTGCATGGAGTTGTCGAGTGGCGGGAATGATGGGCCGATGTATGATCTTGGGTGGGGCCCTGCCTTGCCATCATCTGCCGGTGACGTTGAAGGGACATCCGGTGATGAGGTGGGCGGTGATGAAAGCCCAGTATACGATCTTGGGTGGGTCCAGATCCAACAAGAGCTATTTCATACTGAAGCACCCGAGGAACCGACAACTGGGGCCGACAACTCGAGAGCGGACAACATCATTGATCTTTGTAGCGATGAAGAGCCGGTGTATGATCTCAGATGGGAAAATCATGAACAAGACATCATTGATCCGTCGGGCGACAGAGATGATAATCCCACAAATGCGACAGAAGGTATGTCTCCCGCGTCTCACAACTCACGTCATTGACATTGTCCAGACGTGAAATGGAAACCCGGACGGCCGATCCGCGGAGATTCGGACATGGAACAAGATGATCGGGAAAGCTCGGCCGTTGGTATGTGTTCTATTCTATCTAGCTATAGAACATCAAGTTAACACCAATCCCATGCAGAAATTATAGAAGATGATTTGCAAGGCACCCAGACCATTCTTCGAGTGAATCGTCGACTGAAAACAATCGGTAACACCATGGGTAAGTGCTCTGTCTGAAGTATGTCGGCACAACACTGATGCATCCAAGCCGACGAGCACATCCATGCCATCGTAGAGAATGCTACACATGGCTTGACTGCATCTCGCTTACCGGCCGAGATTCTGATCGACAATAGGAGTATACTTGGAGGGTACGCTGGCACCCAGGACCGGGTCACCACATATTACAGTGACCTATCTCCGTATAATACGAGGGAACGAACATGCATAATATCCCGTATGATACGGGCCAGCGGACCATGGGCCCATGATAAAAATATCCTCGACTATGACGGATGGACCGGGAGGCAAATTATTCCCGATGGAGGCGGGTGGGCCCATGCAGGGAATATATAGAGTAGATGAGTGGGCCGATGTATATGAATATTAGGTAGACGGGTGGGCCGAGGTAGTTGGATATTATGCAGATGGGTGTATTAAGGTAGATGTGTATGAGATAGATGGGTAGGTACTTGTTATCACATTCACGGGTGGGCCCAGACACATATTAAATTAGACGGGTGGGCCGAGGGTATTATAAAATATTGTATTAGACGGGTAGGCCCAGACGCATATTAATTAGACGGGTGGGCCGAGGGTGTTGTATGGGATGTTGTATTAGATGGGTGGGCCGAGGGTGGTATAAAATATAGATGGGTGGGCCCATGTGTATCATAATTGTAGACATGATGGAGCTGAGGTAGTTGTACATCAACCAAATCAGAGGAGGTAATAAATCAAAGTTACCGAGTTCCCGGAGCAGCAGGTGATCTCCTGACATGGCCTTTGATGGTGCACAGGTTGTCTTGCAGAATTTGGAATCCGGGGTGCAAAGCTTGTGTTGCCCTACGAGACACCAAGTTCCGACCACCCAAATTTGGGTCAACCGTACCGACTTCTGAGTTCCAGGACCGGAGTCGACAAATGAATATCTGATAACCAGCACACTTCCAATCAGGTAGTATTTCATTGAGCAATGGATCATCCAAGGGGTCCCTTATCGGACTCGGTAGTCAATATAGGCAAATGATAATGAAAACATGAAAGTTGTTATTATGCTATTTTTCAAACCTGAGACCCTGAAACCCATTGTTCAACATGTCCATTTTTCACTCACTGCACAAATCACCGAGTTTCGAGTGCTGAAACCCAAAACTCAAAACCCGGTGTGCAACACATCGATTGTTCATTTACATTACACAGATCATCGAGTTCCGAGTGTTGAGCGCCGAAACCCGAAAATATGTATGGAACATGTCCATTTCTTACTCATTGCACATATCACCGAGTTTCGAGTGCCGAAACCCGAAACTCGAAACCCAGTGTGCATCATGTCCATTGTTCAATTATATTACACAAGTCATCGAGTTCCGAGTTCCGAGGGACGAAATCCAAACCCCGGACCCCGAAAATATGTGCGCAACATGTCCATTTTTCACTCACTGCACAAATCACTGAGTTTCGAGTGCCAAAGCATGAAACTTGAAACCCAGTGTGCAACATGTTGATTTTTCATTTATATCACACAAATAACCAAGTGCCAAGTGCCAAGTGCCGAAACCCGAAGCCCGAGACCCGAAAATATGTATGCAACATTTCCATTTTTCACTTGTTGCACAAATCACTGAGTTTCAAGTGCCGAAACCCGAAACTCAAAACCGGGTGTGCAATATGTTCATTGTTCATTTACATTACACAGATCATCGAGTTCCGAGTGCCGAGTGCCGAAACCCGAAGCCCGAGACCCGAAAATATGTACACAACATGTCCATTTTTCACTCACTGCACAAATCACCGAGTTTCGAGTGCCAAAGCGTGAAACTTGAAACCCAGTGTGCAACATGTTGATTTTTCATTTATATCACACAAATCATCGAGTTCCGAGTGCCGAGGGCCGAGACCCGAACCCCGAACCCCGAAAATATGTATGCAACATGTCCATTTTTCACTTGTTGCACAAATCACCGAGTTTCAAGTGCCAAAACCCAAAACTCAAAACCGGGTGTGCAACATGTCCATTTTTCAATTATATTACACAAGTCATTGAGTTCCAAGTTCCGAGGGCCGAAACCCGAACCCCGAACCCCGAAAATATGTACACAACATGTCCATTTTTCACTCATTGCACAAATCACCGAGTTTTGAGTGCCGAAACCCAAAACTCGAAACCCAGCATGCAACATGTCCATTTTTCATTTACATTACACAAATCATCGAGTTCCGAGTGCCGAGGGCCGAGACCCGAACCCCGAAAATATGTGCGCAACATGTCCATTTTTCACTTATTGCACAAATCACCGAGTTTTGAGTGCCAAAACCTGAAACTCGAAACCCGGTGTGCAACATGTCCATTTTTCATTTATATTACACAAGTCATTGAGTTCCGAGGGCCGAGGGCCGAAACCCGAACCCCCGAACCCCGAAAATATGTGCACAACATGTCCATTTTTTGCTCACTGCACACAGTCCACAATTTCGGGGTTGGGGGGTTTTAAATCAACCTTTCATATATCCATACACATTTTACCAACCCCCGAACCCCGAAATTGTGGACTGCCGGGTTTCGGGGTTCGGGGGTCCCGGAACTCGGAACTCGGTATGTAAGACAACAAAAATATCTTTCGGGGTTCGGGGGTTAGTGAAATGTTTATAGATATATGTAGGTTAATTCAAACATGTCTGAAAATTTTCATTCGTCTCAAATGTCAAATCCTGAGTTCCGGGCTTCGGGACTTGGCACCCGGCACCAGCACTCGGGGTTCGGGGTTCGGCACTGAAAATTTGACATTCAGGTGTTCGGGTTTCGGGTGATATCTAAATCAACAGCTTCGAGTTCTGCCAAAGCGTGAAACTTAAAACCCAGTGTGCAACATGTTGATTTTTCATTTATATCACACAAATCATCGAGTTCCGAGTGCCGAGGGCTGAGACCCGAAGCCCGAGACCCGAAAATATGTACACAACATGTCCATTTTTCACTCACTGCACAAATCACTGAGTTTCGAGTGCCAAAGCATGAAACTTGAAACCCAGTGTGCAACATGTTGATTTTTCATTTATATCACACAAATAACCAAGTGCCAAGTGCCAAGTGCCGAAACCCGAAGCCCGAGACCCAAAAATATGTATATAACATTTCCATTTTTCACTTGTTGCACAAATCACTGAGTTTCAAGTGCTGAAACCCAAAACTCAAAACCTGGTGTGCAACATGTTCATTGTTCATTTACATTACACAGATCATCGAGTTCCGAGTGCCGAGGGCCGAAACCCGAAGCCTGAAACCCAAAATCATGTACACAACATGTCCATTTTTCACTCATTGCACAAATCACCAAGTGTCGAGTGTCGAAACCTGAAACCTGGTACTTCAAATGGACACGAATTGTATTTGTATGTATTATCCATTGGTGTAGGGTTCAAATAACTTGGGAATTGTATTTGTCAGCACTCGGTACTCGGTACTCAGTGATTGGTGGTCAGTGGTCGGTACTCGAGACTCAGTAGTCAATATAGGCAAATGATAATGAAAAATGACAGTTGTAGTCCACGTCAAGGTGAGTGTCTTGGTAGTCTTTCCTTGTCATTCGGCAAAACATCAGCAATAATGAAAAAATGAAAGTTGTTATTATGCTTAACTTCCTTACCGAAGGTTGTAGTCCAAGTCCAGGTGAGTGTAGTGATAGTCTTTTCTTGTCAATTGGTTATCTTGTTACTCATTACGCAGTACTCGGTACATGGTAATTGGTACTCAGTATTTGGTTTTGATACTCGGTACCCGGGAATCAGTAGTCAGCTTAATGAAGGTTGTAGTCCGAGTCTAGGTGAGTTTATTTGTAGTCTTTTCTCGTCCATTGGTTACCATGTGACCGAGATATAAGCTAAAGAAATCCGAAACATCAATAATGACAAATGAAATACATGTGTGCAGTAAGTGAGTCTAAAGATAAAAGAATGAATATTAATAGCGAGACTTGCACATTATGTCGAGATATCCAACATAACAAGCCTGTGATGTGATCAGAGACCTGGAATAACACCCATATACATCCATTATAATAGCTTAAAAGCTTAGAAAGATTCATGAAGGATTGATGTAATGATAGGCAAAATGACATATGTGTGGAGAGTGACAATAGACATCTTTTATACAAAGTCACATTTATATATGATTCAGGCCAAAAATATCATTACAAATATGTAGGATAGATCGTAAACTACCCAAGGAACCCATACTGCCTACTGCCCTGAGGGTAGGGGGTGGGTAGAAGGGATATAGTGAAAATATGAGTTGACCCAGCATTAAAGTCCTACCACTGCTCAACTAACCATTTTCGATGCTTTGGGTCTTTGAAGTTTCCCACACTCAATTTCTTACCCATTTCACTTCCTCAGTACTCAATTCTTGGTTGATTTGTCTGTAAATTTATGTCTATGATACTTAAGATATTTGAAATGTACCCCAGGTTTCTGATTATGAAGATTCAATGTTTTGAAGGCATGGGCCCCTTATCAGGCGAAATGGCAAGTATACACACTAGCTCACAAACTCCAGCCTATTGTGAGCTGATCTTGGTCATAAGAAGCAAGAATATAAGCTATGCTCATTATATATCAAAAGGTTGGATCATGGATGCAAGGGCAAGATACTGAAAATCGTGAAAAAATATCACAAGTGCAATTGTCTATGCTTTGTTCCTGGAAAAGGATCCTGTGTGTCCTGGGCTGGTTATATGATATATCTACTCCGAATATGCTCAGGAATAGACTCCCTACAGTCCTTGAGGTCCAGTCCTACAGGGAAAAAACCCCAGCAGGTGAACCACCAGAAGAGGGGGAGGTACACTATACAATAAAGGATTACCCTATGGTCCTGAGCTCCTGATACATTGTTTCTATTGTTGAATAGATGATTGAGATACTATTCACCTAGAAATGAACACATAGGAACATATTTTGTATTTTTATGTATATATGCAATATCCATTCAAGCACCAAGTCTCAACTACCGATTACCAAGTCCCGACACTTGATAGTTGATAGTCAGTATTCGAGCTCCGAGTGCCAATATTGCCTACCAATATCTCAGTCAAATGATAACCAAACCAAGACCCAAGTTCCAAACCTGACTACTGAATACCAAGTATCAGTACTCGGGACTCGGGACTATTGGCTGGAGTACCCAACTATTGATTCACAGGTACCGAGAATTAGAACCAAGTACTGAGTACCTGACTACTGATTCTCGGGTACCAAGTATCAGAACCGAGTACCGAGTACCCCACTACTGATTCTCGGGTATCAAGTATCAGAACCAAATACCAAGTACTGATTCCCTTGTACCGAGTACCGAGTAA